CATGGGGGCATTGTGGTGATGACTATGGGAACTGTTAATGTGTGGTTGTGGTGCTAAATTGTCAATCTAAGGACTTTATGAAAGCTGCTTACAAAGAAGATGATTGGCCAGAGCAGCTGTCAGATCAAGCCATTAGTACATGCAATTCTTTGAAGACCCAAATCAAGGTAAGGTCCTCTAGCACTCAGCTGGAGTCGAAGAAGCCACCAGCACCTGATCCAGCTTCTTCTCTTCATGGCAGCATGGACTTTCTGAGGCAACTGCTGGCCATGGCAAAGGATTTAGACGCACACCGCCCTGCTGAAGTCACTAGAAGCTCTTTGCATCACAGCTCCTCTTCCCAGAGCTTGCAATCCAAGCCTTCCAATGAAGTGCTTGCACTTCCAACTGTGGAACCTGACCCAGTAGAAGAGCAAAAGCTGCCTGTGGAGACAAACAAGACTTTGGAACAGTTTGAGCAGGAAGCCTTTGAAAGGCTGCAGTCCAGGCAGTCTGGTGGCAAAGGCAAGACTAAAGGAAAAGGAAAAGGCAATAAGTCTAAGAAGAGTCCAAAAGCAACAACAGGCAAGGGGACTGGCAAGCATCATGCTTGCAAGAGCAAACCAACAAAAGAAGAAAAGGCAGTCATGAAGAAGCCAGCCAGCAGCATTCCTTCAAAGACAAAACCAAAGAGGAATTGTTGGGGGTGTACTAGGTGCAGAGGGGCACCTGCAGGTTGCTCCAGCTGCGACTTTGCAGAATTTGCTGGGGTAAGGCTCAATGGCAGAGCCAAATGGGTTGATTATGTGAATGAGCAGAAAAGGAAAAGGTCAATGCAATGATGTTTCACAACATCAGGGAAATCCTTTGATGTGCCATGTCAGGGGTCAAGGCTGCAACAAAGACAGCCACAAGCCAAGGGGTAGAAAAAAATAGATGCAATGACTTTTCAATAGCTGATCTTCATGACACCTTCATATGAGCCTTTAAGCAATGTAGGTAAACACATTTTCCAATCAAATTAGCCTTTTGGGCTAAATTTCCAATTCACATTATAGCCTTTTAGGCTTAGCTGTATTAACCTTTTGGGCTAAATTTTCAAATCACATTATAGCCTTTTAGGCTTAGCTGCTGTTTTCTTGGCACATCAGCTGTGAAAAAACATATGCATATTTGCATTCAATGCATTCATATTGCCAATTCAAAAAGGTCATAGCAACACTTCACAGGCAGCCAGTTTCCTCAACCTACAACTGAATGCTGTGCTTGAGGCTTTGTGGTTCAAAACAGAGTGACAGGCTGGTCCCAAGCCAGAGCAAGGCCCATGTCTACCGACAGGTTTATGGCCTTTGAGCAGAAGATGGCTGGAGTGAAGATGTTGCAGAAGCTTGATGACACGGAATCCATCAGAATCATCTTCCAGGACTATGGCAAGCCACCAGAAATGGTGTACGACAGCATCAAGACCCCTGAGAAGTATATGCTCTTGGAGAACCTTCGCCAGGTGCCTTGGCTTGTTCTATCTCTTATAGAACTCATTCACAACCCAGCTTGCTTTGTCAATGCACTGCTGTCAAACTGTCAGTTGCAAAAGCCTTCAATTTGTGCTTGCACTGAGGATGCAATTGCTTTTGTTGCCCTTGTGAACAATGACCCTATCTTGAAGAAGCTCTTCAGGGCCTATGCAGTGAGGGAGGGCATTAGCATGTTTAACGCTTGCCAGAGAAGGCAAATGGAGGATGATTTGGCCTTCTTTACACCAAAGGCCAAGCTGTGATGAACAACAGGCTTGTGCACCTGAAGCTCTTCTAGCAAGATGAGAAAAAGTATGTGAGCTGTGTGTCTTATGTTGAGAAAGCATGTGAGTCCACATTGGCCAAGTTTGGTTTCACTTGTGCTTTTGTGTGGGAGCAATTGGCCTTTTTGGCCTGTTACCAAACCCTTCTCTAAGCACATCAGGTATGTACAGGGAGTGCATATTTCCATTAGCCTTTTAGGCTTGGCAACTCAAGCATTGTTCCCAAAACATGGTATGTACAGGGAGTGCATATTTTCATTAGCCTTTTAGGCTTGGCAACTCAAGCATTGTTCCCAAAACATTTTTGTATTTCTCAATCTTATAAATTATGCAGGTACATTGAAATACAGCCTGTTTGGACAGCATCTGACCTTATGTTTCTTCCAATCTAATAGCAAACTGAAATACAATTTTTGGATAGCATTCCACTGCTTTGCATTTGCATTTTGACAAGCATATATACCCTTCCTCTGGCCCAAGAAGGCATGCAAAACAAAGGGTGCAAAGATATGAAACAAAGCTTGTCCATAAGATCCACTTTGCAATCACACATGTGCTTTGCATACACAGCAACCCAACTGTGCTCTTAAGAACAAGCTCTGCATCACATCCAGTCTGCTGTCAGGCAACACAAAGTTTTTACATTGCACATGATTGGCCATGCCAAAGCAAAGCCATGGATGATAGGCCAACTAAGCTGGCCAAGCTGACCAAATTGAGGAAAAGTATTCCCCACACAACCAAAGCATCATTGCAAGCAATCTTGAAGCACATCAAAGATGAAGGCTGTCCAGAATTGTCAAATTCAAAGCAAATGAGAGAGGGGACCAGGGCTGGCTTGAGCCAATGGTCTGGGTATGGTCCTTTGCTTTTGGAGCATGAACTTGTTTGCAAGGATGGTAGCAGAAAGAGTGTGACTTTAGTCAATCTCCTTTCTTGGCTGCATGGAGCCTACAAAGCAGGAGGAGGGTGGCATGGTTTGCTCAAGCAAACCATGGCTACCCATCATGGCCCCCTCAGTCTTGTTTTCTACAGTGACGAGGTGACTCCTGGCAATGTTCTTGCCAATGTACCCACAAGGAAACTATGGGCAATATACACTTCAATCAAACAGTTTAACTTGGCCATGCAGCATGAAGATGCATGGATCACTGTTGGGCTGATCAGAAGTGACATAGTTTCTTCTTTGGATGGCCACCTGAGCCAGGTCTTTTCTGCATTGCTGCTTTCAATCTTCAACAGCCCCTTCTGCAATGTTCTTGACCTGGGCTTACAATTGCAAGAACCTGAAGGCAGTCTTGCACCAGGCAGGCTTTGCCTACAACTTGGGTTCATGATCATGGATGGCCAAGCTGCCAAATTCTGTTGGAGCACAAAGGGGGACTCAGGCAGTCGCTTCTGTCAACAATGTGCCAATATTTTCCAAATGGCTGCTGACCATGATGAAGATGAGGATGTTGATGTCAATTTATCTGAAGTATCCAAGTTTTGTAAGTTCAATGAGCTGCACTTGGTTTCTGACAATGAGATCTTCCAGAGTTGGGATAGGATGTCTGATAGGTTTTCAAGGGTTTCAGATAAGGAGTTTCGATTATGGGAGCAGGCAAGTGGAATTAGCTATTCCAAATTTGCACTTCTGGCAAATGATGAATTGAGATCTGTCTTGAGGCCAACTCAGCAGAACTGCTGGGATTGGATGCATTGCCTTCTCTCTTCTGGGGTGATGAATCTTGCTTGCTACAATCTCTGCCAAGAGATCAAGCAATGGGACCTGCTCAAGAGCTATGTGCAGCTGTTTCAATTGCCAAGCCATTTGGGCAACATCAGGCTGGCACCTTTGTTTGATGAGAAAAGAATAGCTAAACACAAAAAGCACAAAAAGATCAATGCCACAGCTAGTGAGTTGCTGACACTGGTCAGCATTCTTGCACACTATGTGAGAGTGGTGTGCATCCCAGCCAATGTGTGCCAACAGGAAGTTGCAGTTTTCCTGGCCATTTGTGAAATGCTTGATTTGCTTCAAAGCACATGGCATGGCATTGTTGAGCCCAAGCAGCTCTTGCTGACAGCAGAGAGAATTCTCCAGTTATGGAAAGACCTGAAGTGGCCTTTCATAAAGAAACACCATTGGCTTTTACATTTGCACCAAATGATGCAATACCACCATTGCATCCCCAGTTGCTTTGCAATGGAGAGGAAGAACAAGGTGCCTGCAAGGGTGGCGACCACCATTCAAAATTTGCAGGCTTTTGAACATTCCTTGTACTCAGAAATCATCACTCTTGAAATGGAAAGGGTTGCTGACCCTGAAGCCTTTGCATTTGGCCCAGCTCTTTTGCAAAGCAAGAAGTTGAGCAAAAAATTGCTGCCTCTGGCTTCTCAAGTTTTTTCACAGCTGCATGACGTACAAGCCAGCAACCATGCCAGGATTAAGTATGGGTCTTGCTCCAGAGGTGATATTGTTTACTTGTCCAGCAAATCTGGAAACCGATTTGATGCTGGGGAGATCCTTGCCTTCCTAAGCAATGCAACAAATGATGTCTGCATCATTAACTGCTTCACTTTGGAGAAGATGTGTGAGACTTTTGCCGAATGGCAGGATGATGAGAATTTGGAAGTTGTGCCCTTGGCACAACTCTGGATTGCAGTGACCTTTGCCAAAGGCACCAACAAGGTCACAACTTTGACTCCTTGGAGCTTCAGGGAAAAAAGCTCCATGTACATTGCAACTATGTTTTGGAAACCAGTGTCCATGAACATGGCCAAGCCAAAGACATTAGCCTTTTAGGCTTGGCAAAGCCACTGCAAAACACATTAGCCTTTTTGGCTCTACCTGTTCTTTTTTGTTTTCACCAGCATTTTTCGTAAAAAAAATCTATATATATATTGAATTATTTTTATACAAAAAAACAACATTTTTAACAGTTATAACTAGTTAGTAATTTTAACATAATTTTAACATAACTAGTTACTAACTTTGTTAATTTTAACATAACTATGTTAACTATTTAACAACACACCGGCCCATCTAAGTAGATGGTAGACTCCGCGTTCGATGAGACATCGATCATAATTCCTGAGCCCCAGAATTTGCTCTTTTGTTCATTCTGCTTGAGAGAGTATTGGAGAAAGTGAAGGAACATCCCTTCGTGTCACGGGGCCGCGCAAAAGTCAAAACTGCTCGTGACATGATCGAACCGGCGACTTGTCAACCTCCCTCCAGGCAGAGGCTGTGGCTGAAACGTTGGAGAGGATCATCAACGCGGGCTATCCACCGAATCAGATCGTGGTTTTGACTGCCTATCTGGCGCAGAAGCAGGTGGCAGCGGGATCTGGAGAGTCTTTATTCACGTATGTGCTGTCACAGGACATGGAATTACCACCAGCTTTTGCCGCCATTCTTGGGGAAGACCCCAGTGACCGTGTCCGACTGCAAGTGGGTATCATCATGTATCATCGGAACTCGGTATCCAAATCCGAAAAGGCCCACTCGCGACAAAACGCGGTGGCATACAGGGGTTTACACAACTTGGATCATAAAGTTATATAAAGATTCTGATCACGAAAGCTAGCCTTAGCTAGCTGGAGTTGCTCTTGCTTTAGCAAGTTAAGTGACGGGGTGGACGCACCTCAGAAACCTCAAATAATTGATTAAATCAATCTTATGGCCCCCCCCCCCCGCGGTTCGACTCCCCCCTGCGCGCGGTGAGCGGGACCACCAAGCAGCTGCAGCACACCAAGCTTCTGCAGTCTACCACCAAGCAGCTGCAGCAAACCACAAAGGAGCAGCAGCAGCAGCAGCAGCAGCAGCATACCCAACGCCGCAGCAGCAGCAGCCGCAGCAGACCACCCAGCGCCAGCAGCAGCAGCAGCAGCAGACGACCCGGCGCCTGCAGAGCACCCAGCGCAGCAGCGCCCAGCGCAGCAGCGGCAGCAGCAGCACCAGCAGCAGCAGCAGACCACCGGAAGCCCGGCTAGCTTTCGTTCACCCCCTCTGGCCTCAAGTTTAGATCAGATCTTGAGTTGCTTAATTAGGGACTTTGTGTAGCTCAGCTTCTCTACTTGTGCTTGAAAAGGTGCCACCCCAAAGAAGCGGAAGACTAAAATCACCACCACCTTGCAGGAGCTGCGGCGGGCCATCGAAAATCGTGGCCTCGGGCAGTATTTAAGCTCTTGCCATGTGGATACCATCGATGGCTACCAGGCGAATCGGCGAACTGCAGACTGCTATGGGACCGGACCTTGCCGCTACCGCCGTGGACGGTCTTGGTCTGCTAGAGCTGGTAGTGCTCAGCGGAAAACAAAACGCCAGATTCCATCTATTTGATATTGGCGTGGGAACAAAGAAAGAAGGGATACCGCTTGCCCAGCAGGCGTTCTATTTTACTATATATTAATCTATTACATACTTGCTGAATTCTCCTGATGTGCTGCTCCTTCCTTAGCCTTTCGTATGGCTATCCTCAATAGATCTCAATAGATCCTCAACTGCTTGTTAATCAGCAGACAACTAATCCAAAGTTTTGTTTGTAACCTCAGGGGGTAGGTCCTTGTAGGCTTGGTTGTCTAGCAATGGCGCCGTTGAAACGATTCATATGAGACAAGGAAGCACAGTGTATAGTATAGGCCTTTGATTTGTTTAGATATCCCACAACATTACATGACTTGGTCACTGGATGTCACTGTTTTTGTGGGTACATGGCCTTGAAAATAGGAGATCCAACACACTCAGTCCCAGCCATGCGCCTCTCCGTTGCTTCTTTCTCATCCTTTCTCGTCACCTCCAGGGCATGGAGCAAGGCTTGGTCCTCTTCAGCGCCACCCGCAGCAATGAGTCCAATGCCCTAGGAGCGAACACCGCAGTGCCAGAGCGTCGGACGAACCCTGCGAGCTGGCGTCGGACAAGTCATTCGTTCTATACATGCGTATAACGACGCAGTGAAAGAATAAGCAAAGACGCTTGATACCCTGTTGCCACAGACCCTGTTCATTTGCATGTATCTAAACTACTCTTAAGTACTTTAAACCTACTCTAAACTACTCTAAACCTACTCTAAACGATTCTAAACCTGCTCTAAACCACTCTAAACACACATTCATTCCTGAAAATCTTAGATGATCTAAACTCTAAACCACTCTAAAAATTAGATAACTTTGGAGTGTCCTTCATTGACTCATGATTTTGAGTTCATTCTCTCACCAATTGGAGTGGATCCCCACACCAAGAATTAGGAGTTTCAAAGCCACACTCTAAAATATAAGAGTAGCTTAGAGTGCAACTTTACAGAGTGCTCTAAAACTTTAAAATAGTACTCTAAACCTACCTAATCCTTTCTAAAACATTAGAGGAAGAGGGTTTGCGGCCAGAAATAGCTTGTGTAACCTGAGATTCCTTTGGCTATCCCAAGCTAATTCTGTCTGTGTGGACTGGGTTCCACTAGAATTAGCTTGGGATAGCTAGAGGAATCTCAGGCTACACAAGCTATTTCTGGCCACAGACCCTGTTCCTCTAATTTTTCAGAGAGCTTTAGAGAGGTTTAGAGTACTATTCTAAAGCTTTAGAGTAGCACTCTAAAAAATTAGATTTGTACTCTAAACTATAATTTTTTTAAATTTACTCTACGAAACATAGCTGCTTCGCCATAACGGGGGATGTCCCCATGCTCGTTTCTCTCACCCACTCTAATTCACTCTAATTGTTTAGAGTAGGTTTAGAGATGTTTAGAGAGGTTTGGAGGAAAGGTGTTTGTGGCAACAGGGTATCAAGTCGTTTTCCTGTGGAAAAAAACATATGCAGGTCTTGAAGTTCTAAATTCAGAAGTTAGAACACAAAGGGGGTAAATTTAGATCATCAAATCATAGCGTGCTGGATTTAGAATATTATACCAGACCAACTTAGAACATGGGTCTAAAATCATTGAATCAGCTGCCGGACATAAAACATAGAACATGCACCATGACCATACCAACCTGAAGATGTATATATAAGGAGTGTTCTATATATAGGACATCAAGAGGGATCTACAAGGAAATCAAAAAGGAAATCAATGGTTGACAGGAATTTGAACGGAAATCAAAAGGAAATTAAAGGGAAATCAAAAGGAATCAAGAGGGATCCAAAAGAAAATCCGTAGGGACCAAACGGAATTCAACACGAAATCAATGGCATCGAAAGGATTTTAGATGGAACTCACTAGACGTTTAAAAGGACACCAATAGAAATCAAACAAATTTAGAGGAAATCAATAGGATTTTGTATTAAATTGGTCAATCAGCTGCTGAACAAACAACATAGAACATGCACCATGAACTAAACAACCTCAACATGTAGATATAAGGGTATATAAGGGGTGAATGCATATATATATATGCAACATGGCAATCAATACTCAAATGGACATCAGAAAGGAAATCCATAGGACAAAAATAGATTTAATATGAAAAACCATAGGATTCCAAAAGGAAATCAATAGAAACCAAAAGGAATCAAAGGGAATTTAAAGGGACGTCAAAAGGAAATCAACAGGAAACAAAAGGAAGTTAAATCAAAAGGACAAAAGGAAATCCAAAAGGAATCAATAGAAATCAAACATAATTTTCAAGGAAATCGATCAGATATTCAAAAGGACATCAGGAATCAATAGGAACTGGCTTCCTAGGATCCAGCGGACATTTCAAGTTATGTATATTGCATGAGGCCTTGGGAGGAACATGTGATTAGAACATCACAGCCATCCACTTAGAACATTAGGGACAAATTGAGCGGTGATGTTCTAGAGCATGTTCTAAGTTGTTCATGTTCTAAAATAGTGTTTTTTGTCCCCTTTGATGTTCCATTATTTAAAACGTGTTCTAAGTTTCACTGCGTCATTATATACACAATAAGTATCAATAAGTATCATAAATATATGTATAGAGTTATTTAAACAATATGCAATCAGCATTGAACATGTATTTAGACATTGCTGACGCAAAACTGATTCACAGGAAGCCATGGTTCAGACGGGTTTTGTGATTTTGCAAGGACTTGTTAGCCAGAATATCTTCCTCCAATGGCCTGATGAAGCAAAGCCCCTTTTGTTTTGTAGCATTCACAGTTCGGAAACTCACTGGCAAGTGCTTTGTGCTGTGAGTGAGTGTTTCATTGTGCTGTTTGGCTCATGTTCCTTGGTGACCCCCCCTTGTTACATAGCAAAGCCGGCCTGCAACACGAACCTCTTCACACCTTCTAACTTGGCCGTAACTTTGGTCCGCAGTGGCACTGGTCGTTGGTTCCGCAGGATTCTTAGCTGACAACCGTCGGATGAATGTGATGCTGACACGTGCCAAGCAAGGTGCGGCCGTTTTCGGTCGGACGTAGTGCACGTTCCCACAAGTGACCGCGTGGGCTAATGTAGACTCTTTTGACCTCTTGATTCATTCAAAAATACCGGTGGTATGTATGACGAGGTTTTGCAATCCAAATGGTGTCAAATGGGAGCTTTTACCAAGTGAAAATGGTTGTGGTCCTGAACTGCTTTTGGAGAATTTGTCCGCTTTGGCTCCCGTTGTGTTGGGGGTGGGGGACTGGCTACAACTGCCAGATGCACAACGGATGGCAAACCTTGGCGAAGGTAAACAGTAGTCATGTTTAATGGGAGGGTGTGGTCACACACTCGCGGTGGGTGTTAAGCCACCCGAGTCACCTCGTTTGCATGGGTGGTTTGGCCCAATGGTTTGCATTTGGGAGGGCAGATTCATTCAAATCCCATGATGCATATTAGTATTCCAAGAACCTCAACATCGTATCGGTCTTCAGCATCATCATCTTCGGTTTTTTCAAGGCCTCATCGTTTTTGGCAATGCGGAGACCTTGCGCAACAGCCGCCTGGAGCAGCATCCCAGTGTTCGCAGTGTTCGCCAGGGTGGTCACCTTACCATGGCAAAGTTCTTGGAAGTTCTTCCAATTGAATTAGTCCTGCGAGAGTAGATGGACTAGATTATGGCTAAATGGACTTCGGGCACAGAGTTTGAAACGCCCAGAGGACACCCGTTCTGGGCCCTCAATGTTTGAGGCAGAAGATAAAACGTATATATAGGTGACTATAGGCATCCTTTGCTCAGATCCCATCAACTTTCACATCCGGGGAAGGGCATCAATTGGATGTTGTTCTTATTTTGTGGAGCCTATGCAGTGTTAACTGCAGTGGTATGCATATAGGAACACATAGGATAACAGAGTTCCAAGAGCACTTAGTTCAACACGGTGCACCCTCCCAATGGGGCACCATGGCCGATTCTCGCTGTCCCTTCGCTCGGGTGTCACAAGAGACGGCCGGCCCCTAGGCGCCTCCGTGGAATCCAAATGGCCTGCATGGCTTTCGTGGAGTCTTGGTCACAGCAAGTTCGACCACAAGAGGGGAGTCGCCAATCTACGAGTTGCCACCAGGAAGTCTCCAATTCCACCACTTTCGGCCGCTGAACTGGCTCCAGGCAAGCCAAAGAATGAGGTGTCCATTTGGACAAGACTTCCTGCAACTATATTTGAGTGACTTCTTAGTGTCGATAGAGTCGATCCCTCCGATGATCGCTTCGCTGAATCGCTCGAGCTCACGCTGATCAAGGTTTGCGAACGACTCCGACAACGACCGTTCGGACAGGAAACTCAATCACAACACAACTACAGCCCGGTTGTACCCAATCCATTTAGAGGTCGGACGCCCATGGTCTTTTTGCTGTGGCAGCTTACCCGTCTCCAGGGACCAACCAGAGGTCGGTCGTACATGGGTTTTGGTCAACCCAGAGGGTTTCCTGACATCAAGGCGATCCATCCATGTTCGTCTTCGTCGATCCATCCATTCTTTCGCCTCACCGGGCTACTGAGCCTCTGAGGATCGAAGAGAGAAATGCTTCCGTGTCCAACGATCAACTCTCCAGCCTTTGGCCAGGGCCCTGGAAGGTTGCCTACTAGTCGGATTGCACCGTCGCTTGAAGGTGGAAAAGCATACTGCTTGGGGTGTGTGAGTGGTTCTCATTTCCTACGGGCGAGGCGGCGAGGCCCCGTTTTGAGCTACAACCTGGCAACAGGAACTGCTGACAAGAGCGACCAGCTCGCCTGCCAGCAACACCGTTAGGACCCCATGACTTCCCACCATTGAGTTGAATGGAGCATGCCTCTTGTGTTGGTAACGGTGCAGATTCTTAACCAACCACCCAGCCTACCAACCAACCAAACAAACAAACAAACGCAAATAAACAAACAGATGCACTTCGTATTCAATCTTATTGTTTGTGGTCTCTAGAATGGAGCGAGCTCAGCTTATATCGGGAGCCAGCTGGTGGCCCTTT